CTGCATTTACTATTTAAAAATCAAACAATTCAATTAGATTTATCCAGCAATTTTCAAATTCTTCTAATGTATCATTTTGTAACGCAACAAATCTTTCAATTTTTAATCTGTTTTAAAAAAATTCTTTTGAAGATACTTATATCTGGATTTTTTTTTAATTTACTGGTATAAATGTAATATTTTGAAAAGAGAAAAATATACGATGTTTTCTTATCTTTAGCATGAAAGAAAGATGTAAAATTGTCATACGAAAGATTTATTGCTATTTCATTGAGCCATTTGAATAAATTATTCCAGAATATTTGTACCGTTTGGCAGTCCCAAAATAGGTGTTCTATACTTTCAACATCCATACAGCAAAAATCACAAAGACTAGATTCGGTTAATTTACATTGAAGGAGAAATTTGTTTGTTGCAATATTCCTGTGTAAAAAATTATATTGAAAGTTTGGTAAAATATTAACTTTGCAAAAAACCAAAACGTTTTCGTAAATATTTTGCCATTGAAATTCTTTTTGAGGAAATCGTTCTTCCCATTTTATTTACGATTTTTTTTTAATTTTTACAGAGTCTTATATGCTTTTGAATCTATGTTAACTTGTTTCTGATATTGGACGTGTTTTTTTTTCTATTATATCAAAAGTGCTTATTTCTTTAGGCGTTGAAGTTTGATTAATTTGTTGAAGTTTACGTTTCCATTCTTTGGGTATTGATGAAATTAATTTATACATATTTCTGTATAGTAAGTTTCATCCGGTCAAAGGCTTTCAATTGTTTTGTTTTAGTGTTAAAAATATCCTTTTTTTAATATTTCTACATTTCCATTTTGGAAAAAGAATTAAAGATCCATCATTTTTATGTGTGGATTCTGCCATATTATTTGGTCTTAAATAGATTTTGTGGATTTTTATTAAAATTTATTTTACTCCATGACAGTAGTATTTCTTTTAAGAAAGTATTTTCGATTTTTAATTTCTGTATATCATTTGAATTTAAATTACTTTTAGATATGTCGTTTCTACTATTTTTGTAAATTTTTCTTAATTATCTCGTTCCACAATCCATGGTTATTCTCATCAAATATTCTTTTGATCAAGCTTGATTTAATCGAGTTCATAAAAATCGGCAAGTCTATCATATTTAAGCCTCCATATTTAAAGTCTTGTATAAGTTCATCCCTTTTAACTTTGTCTCTTTTTGCGTGCCATATAAATTCAAAACAGTTTTGTGTAATTGTTTTCATAATTTCTTCTGGCGGACGCGGAAGAACAGATATTATTAAAGTTAGTTTTGAAATAATTAAGGATTTTAAAATTGATATATTGCCAGTTAAACGTCTTGCCCACCATCTATTAAGGTCTGCTTTAAATTTGTTTAATTTATTCTCGTAATTTATTTTGGTTATTAAGTCACATTTTGAATGGAAAGTTATGCCTAATGTTTTTGCACATTTGAGGTCCAAATTATAAATGCGTATTTTTTTTCTACAATAGATTAAATCATGTTGGTTTCTAAGTGAACCTATTCTGAGAACTGTACATTTTTTAAATTAAGTTTAAGACCAGAAATAAAGGAAAATTGTTCAAATATGTTCAAAGTTTCTTCAAAGCTGCTTGATTTTCAATTTAAAATTATAGTTGCATCGTCTGCAAACATGCTATTTTAACTTCTACATCAAAATTTTTTAAACCTTCAATTTTCCTATTTTGTCTTATAGCTATTGACAATCGTTCAATTGCTATTATAAATATATAAGGAGACAATGGACATCCTTGTCGTACTCCTCTTTTTATAGGGAATGACTAAGACAAAAAAACATTGTAAAGTATGCAACTCGTATTATTATTATTATTATTATTATCTTTATAAGTATTATCATTATTATCATTATTTTTATTATTTTGAAGTAAATAGTGTGCCCCACTAAAGATATTTTTCAACAACACTTGAAGATCCTTTGTAACATTCATACTTTTAGTCAGCGTGTGTTTTAAGGAACCTGTAAAATGTACATGTTCAAATTATAGCAACAAATTTTTCTCATTAGTATTCGGAAAAGATCCTTTGAATCAGTGTAAAACAGTTTTGGCAACATTTAGCGATTGTATACATGTAAGTTAATTCAATAAGAATGGATGGTAGGGTCTACTAGCAGGACTATGTCAAGCAGGGACTTGATTTTTCTTGAGTTGACGTTAACTTTTCCAAGTACTTATTTAATATTGAATTATTCTTACTATGTTAGTCTAAAATAAAATGCTTTATTTTATATACTTTTAATCGGTTTTGCTACATGTACATTCTTATTTATAACTCGTTGTTTTCGTTTATTTGGGCCTTCTGTCGTAATATTGAATTTCAGTGTTAAAGAAAGTACCTCATATTTTAATGATGCCATGTAGATAAATGATGTATGTGTGCTATTTGATTTTTATGTAACCAAGTCATTGATGTGATTTAGAGGGGCATTATTTCATCGTATATATGTCATCCACTGTTACGTTAATTGAGTACATTAATGAGACATAACTCAGTCAATCAATCATTTTTGTGTCGCCTCTACGGAGTAGTGGCGACATATAGGGATCACTTCTCCGCCGTCTGTCTGTCCGTCTGTCCGTCTGTCTGTCTGTCTGTTCGTCTGTCCGTCTGTCCGTCACAAAACTTGTCCGGACTACTCCTCATAAACTACTGGTGCAATTTCATCCAAACTTTACAGGAATGATCAGTACTAAGTCTAGTTGTGCATATTGTCAGCATTTTCCGGTTCAGTAATTTTTGTCAGAGTTATGGCCCTTTAATAATTTTTAATTTTAAAGTTTGTCCGGACTACTTCTCTTATACCACTTACTCAATTTCAATGAAACTTTACAGGATTGATCTGTAGCCCAAGTCCTTGCGCATATTACACGGGTTTTCCGGTTGAATGATTTTTGGCCGAGTTATGGCCCTTTGATAAAAAGGTGTTTTTTCTGTGTGTTGCCAGATACACAAAAGCTTGTCCGGACTACTCCTCATAAACTACTGGTGCAATTTTATCCAAACTTTACAGGAATGATCAGTACCAAGTCTAGTTGTGCACTGTCCGCCTGTCTGTCCGTCTGTCACAAAGTTTGTCCCAACATGAAATTGGCCATCATGAGGCGACACATGTGATTACTGATCGCTCTTGTCTGAAATTGTGATAACATGTACTTAAAAGGAATGCACAGATTCGTTCTTTTACATTTACAACTCAGCAGAAGTTATTATTGTTACTATGACTATTCTCAGTCATAGTTACTATTAAACTCACTCATATAATAAAAACACAAAAAATTGTTCTTAGTGTTCAAACATTTTTATTGATACATACAACACATGTATTGTTAAGTTCTGACATTATCTTAAATGTATACATGTACCGTGTTTCCCATTCTAGCACATGGTTTACTGAACTTTCCTAAAATAACTCAAAATATTTGTAGTTTAATGCTCAAATTCCTTAACCCTGTATCTTGAATGCTCAATACTGACTCTAGAATCCCCTTAGAAAATCTTGCACCTGTTTTAATAAGAAATACATTATCTCTCCAAATTTTATGGCTGACAAAGATAAGCATTTTATATTTTTGACGACAAGTGTTGTTAAAATTACCATAACAGAATCCAACAGACTGATTCCTTACATGTGTATGATGGCAACCGATGATTGAGTTACATGAACTTAACCTTAATAATTGCAGGCATTGTGTCCTAAATTTATGATGGTAACCGCTGACATGTTACCGTACTACAATCTCACAGACTGATACACAATCTAGTTCCAACAGATTAGAATTAGTAATATAAATAATGACAACAAATGAGGTCTGTATTCTCACACAAATTTGTTATTAAATCAAACCTTGAAAAGGCGCATTGCTAAAACTGCAACAGTTCAAAACAAATTTTATCGTCAGTTCTGACCATTAAACTACTGGACTCTGATTTCATGCACCTGCGACGTTTTACAAAGCATGTTATGAATATCTTGTCATCAAAAAGGACAAACAAACAAACAAAAATAAACAAACACTCAAGTTATGCAAATGAGACATTCCATAAGCAAATGTAAATCATTACGTCTATTAGCTCTACAATGTTGGTGTAATTGCCCATTTGCAAAACATTGACAAGTAATCCGCCGTTTATATGTAAATTGAGATGGTAAAATAATTATTTTTCAATAGCTAAAACAAATAAAATATCAAGTAAATATAGATAAGTTGACTCTCAAGCAACCGTACACAGTTTTAATTTATTCTCCAAAGCAACCGTGCAATGAGTTAGCAAGCACCTGTCCAGTAACGAAACAACACCAATGATCATTTATATGTCATCGTTTCCTAAACCACTGTGTGCACACCTGTTACTGCTTAATTTTCTTAAGCTCACATGATTATTCTTCAAAGTGTCAAGAGAATTTGCTCATATATTATACATAAAGCTTGAACTCTGTGTCAAAAATTGTGGCATCTTTTTTTAGGAATCGGTGTCAGAAATCATATTTCGTCGGATAATATAGGTTTTACCGTAGGGCCTAGAACAGGAATGATCTTTTTTATGTAACTCCTAGTGATAAGATTAACAATTCTTTCATGGTTGGTCTTTGTTGTTTTGTCTGTTTACCTATTTTTAGTTCAAAATTGGCGATTTTTTCTCGATTTTGTCGCTCGCAAGTTTAAGCGGACAAGGAGTGTACGCTGTGTTTCTAGATAAATGAATCCGATACATGTAAAGTACTTGGCACAGACTAAAAATTTTGCTATTTATCTTCACTTTCGTTAATAAGCTTTATCAAGTAGACTGCAGATAAACGGATGTTTGTCCTTACGCATAAAATTGTTTCTATTAATTTCATCAATTCGTTTTTTTCCAATATCTGAAGGATCTCTAAAATAGTTTCTTTGTTAATATCTGCATAGAATTATGTAGATGTTAATTTAGTTCATTACATTTTTCATATTGATATATTTCAGTTTCTGTTGCAAAAGTAGAACTTTCTGGACCAAGTTCTAGTTTTATGAAAGAGCATTCACGACAAACAATCAAGTGTAAGACATCACCTAGTCGACCACAACCAAGTGTAAGTTGGTATCTCTATGAATCTGATAACAGCGTTAAACATAAGATAACTGCAAATTCGTCAATACAGATACACAATAGTGAAGATGAACTGGTAGCTGTGGAAAGCACCTTACAATTTTACCCAAATAGGTCGATAAACAACTGGATGCTGAATTGTGAAGCGTTGACAGACGACGCAACCAGTGCAATTTATAGCAAAAGTCTGGCTTTAAATGTTGCTTGTAAGTCTTTGTTTTAACAAATTAGTAAATGTGTTTATTAATGAAGTAATTAAAATATGGATATTTTTCTAAAGGATAGCCTAAACAATTGCTTAGAAACAGTCTTCATTACAAGCTGTTTTTTTAAATGTTTTGTTTGTAATGGTTAAAACATTCCATTTATTTTCAACATTACAAATTTCCTATATTCCGCCATTTGCCCTTTTAATTATAATGAATTTCGATAAAAAGATAACGCTCACATATGATTATAAGTAAAAGCGAAAATTTAAGTTAATATTCTGATAAATTCATAGAAACTACAATCGATAATCGTGAAGACGAAAATAAAGCGTACATAACTGGAAATTAATTTATAAATTCTGGGTATTGATTTGTCCTCAGTCTGAAAATTATGAACTCCATCAAGTACACACGGTAAAAAAAACTACGGTTTTTTGTAATGTGCTTACATTTAGAAATCAAGACCAAAACAATTTTCTTTTGTACTGTTACAGACAAATTGAATCTACTAAAGTTTTAAAAAATTATCTCATCAGCACTTTTCAAGTTTTTTTACCATAAACAATCTCTATACATGTAACCATTTAACGCATTTTTAAAGAAAAATATCCATTTCCTGGCTTAACGACATTCAGACTGTGCGCAGTATGTAAAACGCAAAACACTAGCGATGTTTTAAGCATGACATACATGTTATTTGTTAAGGGGGGTTGTTTATTTTTTAAATTGTAAGAACTGATTTAGCGCAGAAAGATACCTAAGCTTGTTCCGAAACTTTAAGATGTTGCAATTGTATTTTATTTATACACTGTTTGTTCAATCAAGTTGAAACAGCGATACCACTAAAAGGGATATGTATTAAAATGCCTATATTATAAACGTGTGCTAAAACGTTACGTAGAGTAGTAGTATTTGTTAAGTAAAGTTAAAAGACATTAATGACGCTTTTAAAGCTATTATTCATTTTGATTATTTGATATTTTATTGAAAAGATTTTATGAAACATTTCAAGATCCTCCGGAGAAACCTGTCATTATTGGATTCACAGACGGTGAAAAGTATTCACTAATAGAATCTGAGTTTGGCAACTTATCTTGTTCGTCACAAGGCGGGAATCCACTAGCTAATTTGACATGGAATTGCTATAACAGTAAACCAACATCTATTACCATTGAAGACAAAACAGTTTTCAGCACTGTTACATGGTCAGGTTTTCGTGGTCAGTCATCCTGTCTTTGTATTTCACATCATTCGTGGTCTGGAACTACGCAAAATACAACAGTAATGATTGATATTTTTTGTAAGTTATATATTTTATATTATATCAGATAAATCTCAAAGTGTATGTTTTTGTTTTATATTAAGACGTTCGTCAGTAACAAAACATTTTAAAACCTGAAAATGATTACATAATGTGCTTTAAAGTGACTATATTGTTAGTATTCATTTCTTTATGCAAAACGTGCTTTAATTCATTATTACTATGTAATATCTTGATAAAAAATACCAATAATCGATATAAAATATTTTGACATACATGTTTTAAGACCCTCCAAACAAACCAACAATGACCATCAGCAATACGAAAGTCTCAGATGTTATTAACGTTATTTTGAGCAAAACCGTGCAAGTAAAATGCGAAAGTAAAAGCAACCCACGCTCAAACTACACATGGACAGGCCCAGCTGATTTGAGCAAAACGAAACAAATACTAGTTGTTACAATTAACAACACGATAGACAAGATGTTTAAATGCATTGCAACAAATCGAATGGTTAGACAGAATGGTACACATGTAGATGGACATAATCAATCTGCTGTTACAGTAAAGGCGTTGTGTATGTATCACTTGTTACACCTCACATTCTTTAAACATTTTTCTGAGAAGACTTCAGATAATTTCAACTTAATAAAGCATCATAACTTCATACAAATTCTAAATAA